AAAAAAAAAAATAAGAGTACAGACCTTGAGGTCAGCCTGCCTGGTCCAAATTCTGCTTCTGCAACTTGGCTGGGGCAAATTCCTCACCTTTCTCAGCCTATCAAGTAGGAGTCCCTGGAGAGTGCAAACGGTTAACTAGCAGCTGCTAACCAAAAGGTTGGAGGTTCAAGTCCAACCAGCGGTGCCTCAGAAGAAAGGCCTGGCAATCTACTTCTGAAAAACCAGCCATTGAAAACCCTATGGAGCACTGACACACATGAGGTCACCTTGAGTTGGACTTGATATCAATGGTTTTTTGTTTTAAAGTAGGGATAACAATAGCTGCCCAAAGGGTTGATGAAGGATTAAATTAGATACCGGTGGGCATGTGTGTGGCTAAGCCCTGCTTTGTCTTGGTCATCACCTTATAAGGCCTTAGGGTCCTGTGGTGATCCAGGGAAGGTCTTCTTCACCCTGGCACCCTGCCTGTTTCTCTCTGTTCTGCCCAAATTTCTTCATTTCTGGTATTTTTTCAGTACAATATAACAAATATACAAGGAAATAAGAAGACATACTTGCTTCATGCTCTCAGATAGACAACTTAATATTAAAAGATAAAAACCCCTCACAAAGAATTTATTAATTCAATGAAATTCCAATAAAGATTTCAGTTGACTTTATTTTATAGACTCTCAAAAAACTTACTCTGTGGTTTATATGGAGGCATACAGTCCTCAAAGAGCTAAGTCAACCATAATGAAAGAAAGGGCTAGAAGGGAGACTTGACTCCAGATATGAAGATATTGCAAGGCCACAGTGTAATCTGTGCAGGGATAGGCAAGACCACTAGTGGAACAGAACATAGGGCTCAGTGACAGACCCATGTTTCCCTGGGACTTAAAACACGACAAGGGGCGTCGCCAAGAAGGGCCATATTGCCTAGCAGATGGTGTTGGGAAATTGTCTCATTATATAGAGAAAAATAAAACAGGATCCCTACTTAACCCCTCATACAGAGCTGGGCTCTAGGCAGATTAAAGGTCTTAATGAGGAAGCAGCACTATAAAGTTAATGTAGGAAAGTGTCTTTGTGAGTTAGGGGCAAGGAAGGACTTCTCCAACAAAAATTCAAAATCACAAAACAGATGAAAACCAGATACATTTAATTACATCAAAATAAAGGCCTTCTGTTTAGTGGAGGACTTTAGCAGACATGTGACATAATGGGAGAAGATATTTGCAACATCGAAAACCAACCAGGGATTAACGTGTGAAAATTTTGCAAACTAACACGAGGGCACTTTCTCAACAGAGAAAAACGGGCAGCGGTTTTAAACAGGCAATTTCAGAGCAGGAAACATCTAAAACGAACAAGTTAGCACATGAAGACACGTGTAAAAT